GGGAATGAAAGGGGACAAGGTAGAGTGGAAGGACAAGTGAGCCAAAACGCACCGCTGCCAGTCCGATGAAGAGGAAGGATGAGTCAGTCACGCACTCCTGTTTTTTGGTGTGTGTTTTTTTTTTCTTTTTTTTACCTCTAAAGGAGAGCACATCGTCAAATCTACACTTGGAAAGAAATTGGGAGTTATGAAAGGACGCGAAAAGCTAAAAAAATGTTTGGATCAGGATCGGCTGATGAAAAATCCAATTGGGTTCATCCCGAACTGGACACACCAAATTTTTAATCCAAACGCATTCATCCGATAAGAGAAACTTTCACATTCCCAATCGTCGCTCCACGCCGCGAAGAAAGTGTTGCGTCAACAATATTAGCGCGTGAGCTCAAAAAAAAAAAAAAAAAAAAACAAATCGCACCGCGCTAGCAGATCGGGCGGCTTCTCCATCGTCATCGCAGGCCGCTTGCCTCCGCCGACGGACTAGCGTGGCTTTGACCTAATTCCATTTAGAGGCGAGGAAGTGATGAATTAATTGGGACACAATTGAATTAGAGCTGGATCCACAAAGAGAGAGCCGGAGAGGGAAGATATTCATGCCGCGACTGGAGTCTTAAACCTATTAGGGGGGCCCTCGAGACGCAATTGGGCGGAGTTGCGTTTTCTCCAGATGGAATCGAGCCTCCCACGTCGGATTGGCCCGAGGATGTGACGAAGTTTCGTGTCCAATCGCCAGCGTTATTACACCGTTGTATCAAACCAAAGAGAAAAAAAAAATCGAAGCACTTGGATAAGGGATTCCCCAAACCAGTGCACCCAAGCAACTATGTTGACTCGAGGTGAGGAGTTTCGTTAAGTACGGCCACAGCCTTGTGTATTCAGGATGCCGCATCTCGTGGCATCTCGAGATCCAAATTTATTTCTTTAGGCTCTTGAGACGAATGCCGCACTTCTAATCAAGCTACAGAAAGCGGCTAATTAGCTTAGCATTGGCAGCATGCGGGGAGGCTAAGAAGGGGCGATCCAACCGGCATTTATTATTTCGCTCTCTGTGGGCAGTAAAGGCAAAACAGCCATTTCTTTTACTCGTAAAACTTTTTTTTTTCCTCTTGGCTGTTGTTCCCACAAAGCTAATTAGGTTGCTAATCAGCGTCTTCTCGGCGGCCCATAAAAGCCCGAGCGTGTCGCGATTGAGGTGAAAGGGGACAATCACCAACGGCGGCCTGAATAGGAGGAAATGATGTCATCACAAAACAAGTGGCCTTTGGTGGCATTTAATTCGGGATTAGCGAAAAAGCTTCTCTGAAGATGTCGCCATTACCCAACGCGTAAAAGACAATCCCTTCAAAAAGCCGCCCGTTTTGAACCGCGATCTAGCGGGGAAACGATGCTTTCAAACAAATATTAATCGCCAGCTGTGTTTTGAGGCCAGTGAAGGTAGTGAGCGAAACACTTCAAACGGGAATGGCGGCCCACCTTTAGACCATAAATAAATAAAGTCAGCGATTGTGGATTGGGGCTGCAAAAAAAACCAACAAAAACAAACAACAACAAAAAAAAAACCCTCCCTCGGGCTCGGGCTCATGAAAGCATATTAGCACTCGTGTCATGTCGCAGGCAGCCGCTTTGTCACAAGCAATTTTTTGGCGCCAGCCACAACCTCACCACGGCGGCGCCGTGCCAGATATGACTTCCTCGCTGGGACGGAGGTGCGAGCTCCTTTTTTTTTTTTTCTTCGTGAGCGGCGGCTGCCAATGGGAACCCGCATTAAATCGATTTTTTTTTTTTCCTTTTCTTGGATTGAACAGGTGCAACACCATCTGTCGTAATCCTCAACCTCACAAGCGCGTGTCTGGAGCTAATCTGACTTTTTGGCGGTTTCTTAATTACGAAATGGAAGAGCCAGATTTGGAAACGGGCGATTTCTCGCTGGCGGATTTGTGTCTTCGCGTGCGCCCATGGACCGTTGTCAGGCCTTGGAGCTCTTGACACACATACAGGTGTGTTGGGCCGCAACAAACAAAAGCGCAGTGGGAAAAGTGTCGTCGTGCAAATTTCCGTCACGTTTGATCGCATAAATCCGCTCGCAGCTGATCACTGACTTGAAATTTATCGTCATCATTCACATCAATCATTGCTGAGCCCCAATCCGTCACTCTTCATTGAAAAAAACGAGTACAAAGCAATGAAAGTATTATTCTGGCCCCATCTCACTACCAAGGAACTATGATTGAATTGAGGAGCTTCACTTTGGTTTAAGTAGAGCTTTGCCACCTTCTTAGGGTATCTATCGGCGAACGGGAGGTGTCAGTTACTCATGGAAGGTCGCAATTTGCATCAGGGATCCGTCCCGATCCCACTGCAATTTAGCGGCAGTTTGCCACGAGAAGAGAAATTTCTCGGCGAGAATGTGAGACTGTGGCTCACAACCACAAAGTTGGTGGTAGGTCAGACCTCAGGAGGTCCGAGTAGGAATCTCTCCCAGCATTAAGACTCTGTTCTTCTGTGTCTCCCACCAGGCTCGACTGAACATGTGACCAGTGGATGGACTCCCGAAATAGATGATTTGAAACCGCCAACCATCGCCCCCACCCCACCCCCAATCTAGATTGGAAGATGACTCGCTCATGGGGCTCAGCTAGCTTCACCCCTCGGCTCCTCCCGCCCTCCCTCGTCAACCAGTAGAAGCCTGCTCACTTTTGGAATACGTCACCCTTTTGAGTTGCCCCCCCTCCCAAAATGGAGCCTCGATCGAACCCCCGGTTCAAACCGGTCGTCTTTGTCTTGCTGGCCATGTCATCCTCTTGCCTCCTTCCCGTCGCCCGGCCGCAGCGACTCCCCGTCGACCCCCAGGCCGCGCCGGAGTACGCCCACTCCGTCCGACTGGACGGCGACATCATCTTGGGCGGCTTGTTCCCGATACACTCGCGAGGCGACCGCGGCACGCCTTGCGGGGACCTCAAGAAAGAAAAGGGCATCCACCGCCTGGAGGCCATGATGTTCGCCATCGACCTGATCAACAAGGACCCCGAGTTGCTGCCCAACATCACGCTGGGGGCGCGGATCTTGGATACTTGCTCCAGGGACACGTACGCTCTGGAGCAGTCGCTGACCTTCGTGCAGGCCCTGATCGAGAGGGACGGCTCGGACGTGCGCTGCGCCAACGGCGACCCGCCCATCTTCACCAAGCCGGATAAAATCGTGGGCGTGATCGGCGCGGCGGCCAGCTCCGTGTCCATCATGGTGGCCAACATCCTGCGCCTCTTTAAGGTAAGAGCAGACTCTGCTCTTTTGAGTTTTTAATCCGTGACGACGTGACTGACGGTTCGAACTTTGACTGTCGGGTTGATTGAAGGCTCCCAATCAGCGGTGTTCCGATTAATAATTGAGTGAGAAGTAAGAATTTTGTGATGAGTGGCCAGCGCTTGCTTCATTTTAGCATCGTGACAGTTTAAATCGGATTGCTCATTTTGTCTCGTTTCCTCTCTTGGCTTTTTCCTTTCCTCTCTAATGGTGTTTATTTTTTGTGGCTAATTTTTGCTCATTTATACGCTGGCTTGTTTTTTGTACTGAATGTGTTGGACAATACTCAGGACTAGAACATATTCAGGACTGGAACTTCTCTGCCACTGGAAGTTCTTCTTGGCCAGGAACTGTCAGATGCTCAGGTTATTCTGCCGCATTGTAGATGTGCCCCCCCCCCTGCCCCCACCCAAAAAACTAAAATGGCGACCAAATATTCACTCAATTACAGTCGAAATGTGTCAACAGCCTCTCGTAACAGTTTGTGAGAATGTGGGCATCCCTTTGTGGGCGTTGTTGAGTGGACCTAATTGAGCAGCGGTTTGTTTGTTTGTTTGTTTGTCGGGTACTTGCTGATAGAGCTTTTTTGCAACCCCCCGACATCATGAGGACACCGATGTCAATTGTGGAGGTCAAGCGCGAGGCTGTCTGGTAACTGCGATGCGCGTTGAGATGAACGGTCGCCATCATTGAATAAGCTCCCGCCGTCCGTGGCATTTCGCGTGCCAACCCCGCCTGAAATTTCTTTGCTAGCGCTGCGCCCCCGTGCGTTCTTCCAACCTTCTATCACCCTCGCTAAACAACGATCTGGCGCTTTCGGACGCCGAGATTTGCATATTAAATGCCGAGCGCGTTTTAAGCCGGGGGGGGGGATGTGTCACAATAAGCCAGCGGAAGACGACTCCACGCCGCCTGGCGCGCATTTGCTTAATACGATTTACGGCCTTGTTTGCGAGCATATGTACATGTGTGCATGTTGCATTGTTTGGTAACCGTGTGTGTCCAACAGCGTGTGCGTGGGAGGCCCCGAGTCTTTCAGTGATTGTATCAAAATGCAAGGCCGACGGCGCTTGGTATTTATCGACTCGCAAGATTCTATCGCTCTCTGTAAGGCATTGGCCTCTGAATGAGTGGCGGTCTGAAAATACGTATGTAGGACATGGCGCGCTGCGGTTGAAAACACACGTTTATTTTCAAAGGGGCTAATCTGACGGCGCAGCTCGACGCCCACTCGACCCCGAAGGGGTCCAAAAATCCCCCCCGTGCGGCTTCATGTGAAAGTCGTCGACCAATGTGATTCCAAACAACAGATTGTCGTCCAAATCGTACGGTGAAAAACACACGTGCAATATCTCGATGGCGGCTGCGCGAAACGCGGCGCCTCGCCGTCTCCAAAGCGCGAGCGATCGCAGCGCCGGCGTTGCCGGAGAGCGCCGCCAAATTTCCCTTTTGGAGGCGACGAGAGACGCTCGTTTGATCGCATCTGTGGGTTTGCTATCGGCATCTGCGTTGCATACCAAGAGTCGAGTGCTCTCACGAACGATTTATTCTTCGAGAAGCGCCAATGTCGTCGAGGTTTCGGTCTTTGGACGCAAACTCGGATTAACTTGCGACGATCTTTGTCCGCCGAGCCCGCTTATCGCGAATGTTTTGTCGTCTTTCCTCTTCTCTGAAGATTATCCTTATCAGCGGGAAGCATGCAGTGTCAAGTCAGTGGTGATGACACCGGATATATTAAGATGAAATTCAACAATAATCCTCACAGGGGCAGAGGCGGCGAAGGTGGGGGGGTGGGAGGGGGGGGGGGGGGAGGCGGTAGCAAAGCTACCGACGGCAGCGTTTTGACTTTTTGGAAGTTCTTCACAAAGCTTTGAAACATGTCAAGTGGGCAGATGTTTATGTAACAATCTGAACATTAAAAAAGAAGCTAAGGATTAGGAATCATATATTTAGATGAGTGCAAAGAATGTCAAATTTAAATCGCTCCAGTCGATGGTTTGATATTAAAGCTGCTTCCCGTTCATTCGTTTAAAGCGGTGCTTTGTGATAAGACTGTCATAGATTTTTAAGACCACTAATATATGCACAGGCATATATTCTTTATCCTCTGTGGCGATAGACGAACATTACTGTGGCTTACGGATCAATTGTGACCATCTGATTTTTGTGATTTATTTTATTTATTTTAAAGAACATCCTTACAGAGGATGTTGCGCAAAATGTCTCTAGTGGGGGAAGTCTTTCCCACGGCCTTCCCCGCTCGCACCCCACACCCCGCCGCGTCGCCTTGCGTCTCCTCTCAGCGCGTGACGAACACACGACGGCAATCTTTCTGATCGCTTCCGTAAGTCGGCCGTCTGCTCGCTTCGCCGTCTGTCGGGGGGGGGAATTGAGCGCCGCCCGCGCTCCGAGGAATTCATCTGCGCCCGTCCGTATCCCTGCCGCGTGACTGCCGGATGCGCTTTAAGCTTCCTGGAAAGCATTTTGAAAAGGAGGCACGTGGAGTGATGTTTTTCTGGGAAATTTAGAGATTGCGAGGACAACAAAATGTATTTCTTTCAGTGTAATTTCTTCTTTGTGGTCTGTTGTTTTTCACGAAACCTTTCAAATGGACACACCTTGGCTTCTCAGTTCCAATTAGAATTGTGGCGTGAATTGAATCAAGAACGTAGTTTTCGTGATTTATTTTTGAACTGAAATAACTTGCGCAAAATTGAGGCCAATCAACGTTTTTTTTTTTCCCCAGCATTTTATGGGGGAAAACATAAAATGCTGGGGAAAAGCCATTTTTTTGGGCTTTCCCTTAGAAAGCCCAAAAAAATGTCAGGAACAGCCTCCTAAAACATCTGAACTTTACTTGCGAGAACGTAGTTTTCGTAATTTATTTTTGAACTGAAATAACTGACGCAAAATTGAGGCCAATCAAAGTTTTTTTTTCCCCAGCATTTCATGGGGGAAAACAGAGCTATTTTTTTCCCTTAGAAAGCCAAAAAAAAAAAAAAATGTGAGGAACAGCCTCCTAAAACATCTGAACTTTACTTGCGGTCAATCAGAGGCACTTGAAATGGTGGCTGGCGTGCGCCGACTCCCGAGTTGGTTAATTCCGAACACCGCCATCTCCCTAATTATAGCGGGGTGTGCACACTTTTGCAACTAGATCCACCCTAACGCGTCGCCGCTTTTTTTTCCGGGCCTTGGCGTGATTCATTGAAGCAAGGCAAGTGGTTAACGTATAAATTGGTTCGACTTGGCGTTTTTTGCGCGAATACCGACGAAGCGCTCGTCGCAGTAGATAAGAATGTTCATACTGGGTGAAACTTGGTCCACAAAAAAAAAAAGCGCAGCAGTGAACTCAGCAGATCTGTTAGCAGTACATTACGCACTTGCGCGCGCACACACACACACACACGCACGTGCACACTCACTAAATGAAAGTTTAATCAAGTTCTCTGATGAGAAACAGGAGATCATTACGTTTACGCGGAGGCAAACTGCTGACTGAGCGAGCGTTAATGTGTACGATTACCTGAGCGTGCACCCCCCCCCCCCCTCTACCGGCTTTAATTGAATTGTTGTGTTTACGACAGAGGGCAGGAAGTGCTTTTTATTCCTTCCGAGGACAACAAAAAGTCGTCTTACGCGAGGTGCGTCACACCTAGCAAAACCATTCGGGTCGCCGGTCTGTCCGCTTAGCCAGCGAAGGCGTGCGACATGTGGCGCGAGACTGACACTTGCGATAGAAAGGTTTGCAATAAGACAACGAAGCGGCTGTTGAATGTGGCATTCGCAGCCGAGAGGAGTGTCGCGACGTTTCTGCTTGTAGCGCAGTGGGGCAAGAACAACATGCTAACGTGTTCAAACGCTAACGTGAATACGGCCTTAGCTGATTTGACGCTGTCATTTGTTTTGTTTCTTTTGCCTTACCTTGTGATGTAAGTTCACAGTCAAACGCCACGGGAAAAAAAAAAAAAAAAAAGACCGCACAACCTAATTTGGCTTTACTAAAGCCTGCTAGCTTCATGCTAACACGGCGCTACAGACGGCTAATTAATCGAGCATCAAGCATTATCGAGCACAGGTGACGGAGTGAGCGCGTCGGTGAGAAGTTCAACACGGCGCCGCGGGGCCACGCGGGTGAGGACGCCACTCGGGGGACCCCCCCCCCCCACCATCCCAAGTCCAAACTGTCGCTCGGTTGTCGGGTCGCGTTTGATACCTTTTTTAAAAGCGCAGATCTAAAATGGATCAAAGGCAGACGGCTCATGGATTATTTCTGACTGGGATGAAGGCGGGAAGTGAGCGAGCGAAAGAAAGGGATAGAGATTCGAAAAAAAAAAAAGAATTTAAATGCATTTTTAATATTCGGGATGGGGAAGAGTGCTCGCCATAAGTGTGCCTTCTCTTTCAAGCAACGTGTGCGATGACAAGGGAAGTTGAAACGGGAACACCCCAAATAGTTCAAAGAATCAAAAATGTACTTTTTTTTGTTGTTGTTGTTTTTCTTCTTCCTTAAAAAAAAAATAGGCCAGATAAGAGAGAATGCAGCTTTGGGATGGCATCTCATGAGAGAAAGCGTTCTTTCCAAAATAAGACCAACAAAATAAATATATCCTAGCTTGCAATTAGCCTTAGCCAATTTGTTTTTCTTCACTTCACAAAAGCCTGCATGAAATGCTGTAAGTGTAAATCTGTCATGCTTGGGGAGGGGTGGGGGGGATTTTTGTTTATATGTTCGAAGAAAGTTGAAAGACTAAGTTTGTGCTAGCGTGTTATCGGGTCGTCCGCTAGCTCGTGCGATCGGTGAGCCTCAGGTGAAGGGCGGTTTGACTCTTCGAGCGGAGTTGATGTGAAATGGCGTCAACGGGAATCCTGTGTAGCCCCCCGTCAACGTCCTTTGCGGTCAACTCCGTTATTTTATGGGAATGGGCGGCGAGTGCCACAAACAAGAAAAGATGGTGGAGATTATT